AAGGGTACAACCCACAGAGTAAGAAAAAAAGACAGAACGTGTAAATACGAAAGCATCCCGTCCCTGTTGAAGTTTGTTTGTATGTTAGTGTGTTTGAGTAAAAAGAACGCTCATGGACACAAGTATAGTCATTAAGGGTAAGAGTACAAGCCACAGAGTAAGAAAAAAGACAGAATGTGTAAAGACGAAGGCATGAGTCCATGTGGAAGTTTGTTCATTTGTTTTTTTGTGTTTATTTGTTTGTTAGTTTGTTTGTTTGTTTGTTTGTTAGTTTGAGCGAAGAGAATGCACATGGACACGATAATGGTCATTAAGAGCAAGGGTACAAGCCACAGAGTTAGGAACACGACAGAATGTGCAAGACAAAAACATCCATCAGTCCATATTTCTTTTGAATTTTTGAGCGAAGAGATGCGAAAGAAGACAGTGATGGTCATTTAGTGCACGAGAGCTGTACGGATCTACTAGACGCTCGGAAACTAGTTTAATAAGAATGTTTAGGTAAAGGTACAATGCGCAGAGTTAGGAACAGGTCAAACTGCCCAGACGAAGACACACACTCCATGTAGTTTGTTACATTGACACAGTAATGGTCATTCAGCGCAGGTGAGCAGTAAAACAGAGATAAATATACATGTGTATTAAAAAACAAAAACAAAACAGGAGGTGAGAAAAGAAGTAGGACCTACCTGTCATGCTCTTCAGCCACCTGCTTATAATTCATAGGTCAAAGAAACAAAATATTGTTTTACTTAACCCTATCCGTACGTCGTGTTTTACTATCGTATCCATACGACGTGGTGAACTCTGTGCCACCACTTTCAAAGAGGAAATTTCCCGCCTATTAAATAATCCGGCAATTAACATCCCCCCCCCCCTCACCCAAGCCACATTGAGTCGAAATTGTCCAAGAAGAGAAAGGTGTAGAGGAGAAAAGTGACACGCTTAGACAGGTGGACGTTTTACACAGTGTCATTATGATCATGGAAAAAAATTAATGGTAAGTGGTCTTTTGTCCAGGTGAATTTCTTATACAGGTCTTATACAGGTTTTAATTTTAGTAAGAGTTTAACGGCACTTGCAACACAATAAGGTTATATAAGTGCCGAAGAGTAGAGGTGTTACAAGAGAGTAACATGCACAGAAAAGAAGGAGGGGAGATAAAGATGATAGATGTTTGATAGGGAAGAAGAAGCAAACCACACCAGAGCACTCGCCAACCACCCACCATATACAGGTGATTTTGTCTTATATGCAAAGTGTGTGTCTTATATACAAAGTGTGTGTCTTATATACAAAGTGTGTGTCTTATATACAAGTGAATGGCTTATACAGATGGCCGTTAGAGCGATTGTACCTTTAGGATAGGACGATAGTCAAGAGCTTCTTCAGCTCTCTATTCGGAACTTACCTGAACTACAATACACATTCAGGGTCTCCACTCTCTATTGGACCAATATGGGGGTAGATATGATGTCTTGAGTGAGAAATGATTTTAACGTAATTTAAGAGTGCTTGTGTGTGTGTGTGTGTGTGTGTGTGTGTGTGTG